TCTCTCTCTCTCTCTCTCTCTCTCTCTCTCTCTCTCTCTCTCTCTCTCTCTCTCACACACACACACACACACACACACACACACACATATATATTGCATGAATGGTTCAGGATTTCCCTCTTAAGGGTCGCTGGGTTGGGTTGGCTTGTGTTTCTGGGGTTCCCACGGGGAACCATCTGTGGGATAACCAATATGACCTTCCCTGGATGACATTTGCCCCTCTTTTTGGCTTTGTTTGGGGCCTTTGGGCCCATGGGTATGCGGTTTATCGACTCAGCTGGAGTAAGAGGCCGTTTTGAAGACGCTCACTTTCTTCCTTTGTCGGCCCCGAAAAATCCCCCCGCCCCTTGATCCCCGCCCTACTACGGCCCTAGCACTGCGTCTTGCTTTGATGAGAAGGCCTAAGGAATTCAGATATAACACTGCTCCTCCGCCCTCATTCCTCCTCACTTCACTGAACCGACAGGTGTTGCTGCGTGTGCGGCGTGTGGCTTCGCACACCCAGGCCGGCTGGTACCATTCTGCGCAGCAATGGTCCGAGCGGCGAACCCACTCACTGCTTCCACAATCATACTCCCGCATTCCTCGCTCTGTGGTGCTACTTGCGATCCGAGCCCCTGCATTCTCCATGGCCGAAGCGCCATGACTTGCGTCCCTTGTTCGCAGAGAGGAACTGCAGGCGGTCTTTGTGTGTTTGTGACATCCCTTCTCAAGGAGCGTTCTGCCAGTGACATAGCGTGCACAACTTTGCTTTTGCCGTAGCGGCGCCCTGTCTACCGCTTTACATTGGCTTGTCGAGATATCATTTGGGAGGATACTTGTTGGAGTATTGGCCTGCCACACGTCATCTAGCATATTGCGCGCGTAGGAGGGTACAATGCCAAGTTGCCAACTGTGACGAAGTTTTAAACGTACTGTCCTACTGACGACACGCCATGGGCCCAGGAGCGGTAATGCGTTCGCCATCCTTTTGTCCCTCCACCCATGCCCTGCCTCCTCTCCCCGTGCCCTGTCTAATACCTGTCCCCAGAGTTTTGTGAACCATGCGCCTCTTCCGTACCCCATTACCTCTCCTATTTTGTCGATGGAACCTGGGTCATGCCCAATCAAGGTACCTTTCCCTTTCGGTACATCATGAGGGAGGTTCTGTTCTGTGAAGATCCGACATGGTGGAGGTAGGTGAAAAGTACTTAAGGGCGCGTCCCATCACCCTCTCTGCATACTTTGGCACATCGGGGTCGCTCGACTGAATTGGGACTTCTATTCTTTATAAACACCGTTTCCCCTTCTCCTCGAGTGTATTCACTCCTCCCCCTCACTGAAGCTACACTCCACTAACCCGGTCTACTCACCTTTGTTTTCGCAATCCATCATTTTGTGTTGCATGAGCTTGTCGTGCATGTTGATTGGTGGTGGTGTGTCGTTGGCTCTCCTGTATGCATCGCCATTGAGATTCTAAGTGACGGATTCAACACCACGAGTCGGAATGGACCTGCTGGTGGCCACTCACATGGCGTTCGTCTTCGTGATTGCCTTCATGTCATACCTAACTTTTCTGACATTTCTCGATCTCCAGCTGATTCGCTCGTTTCACTATGCTGGATGCTTTCATAACTCGTCCTCTACTTTCCCTGCTTGGAGATGGTGTAAGGCGTAGGAAGGTTTTGGGTTTTTGATCTCTGGCTATGTATCACCCTCGGCCGTGGCCGTGGGGTCAAACTCGGAGGGCGGCCGTGATCACAGCCGCCGTGGCTCCGGCCGCGGTTGGGTGCGGCTGCGACTTTCCAGAATTTTTTTAGACTTATAAAAATTCCCAAAAAAATAAAATAAAAAAATGGTGTTGTAGATCTTTTAGAGGTCTAAATTGGGCAATTTATATTTTATTTTTTGACTTCATCTTTGAATTTTAAAACTTCAAAAACTAATTTTCGTGAGGCAAAAGTTTTTTTTTTTTTTTTTTGCTAAGAAAAACTATGAAACTTATGTGCTTTTTTATTTTAAATTCAGTAAATTCTTTGGATATGACCACACGGCAAAAGTTGTTCAGTATATGTTTCTGCATAACATAGTTTTTTTCCAGATTTTTTTTTTTTTTTTTTTTTTTTTCATCGTCTCGGACAGCGGCCTAGGCCGCGCGTGGCCGCCTCCGGAGGGGATTCATAGATCTCTGGTACTTGGTAGGGATGGGAGAAGGGTAGGAGTTGAACCCACTGGTTCCAAATGGATGCTACGGTGTTCCCTAGATCTTCTCCCCTCCCATCGTTCTTCTTCCTCTGCTTCCCCCTCTTCCTGTCCACCATTCTCTCACTTTTTTTCAGCGGGGTTACTACTCTTAACCATCTGGTGTGCCTGTTCCCAGCCTGCAACAGTTTGTGTGACTATCCCTCTCAACCCTCCTTTCCCATGAATTGTTAGCTTGGTCACCTCTTTGTTTTGGTTGTCCTAGCACCACTTTTGCCTCTTGGCAATAACGATGGCCCTCCTCTGGCGTCGTTTTACCTTCTCTCCGTTTCGGTGAGCATCCTTCAGCTTGACATTCGACGAACAATATTAATAGGGCGAGCGACATTCCCCTGTGGTTGAAGGCTCGGGACGTGCATTGGAGGAGGAGGGTGCAACTTTTTTGTCTTATTGTCGGTGTGTGAGCACATCTTTGGTGGTTTGATAGTTGGATTACACGAATGCGCAACGATTTTCTTCTTGCTTTGACGCTGCTGACGTAATTAGTAGGGGACAGAGGGGCGGGGTAGTAAGGGGTACTGCTATTATAAGCATTGGAACCTGCAGGAGGGAGGATTCTCTAGAGCGGGTTGCCCAGTGCCGCTATTCGAAGACTAAGCATTTGTCTATCTTGTTGGGACATCTGCCCTTTTTTTGAAGAAGGCAGCACTTGCTGCCAGGGCCTTGTTATTTTACCCCGAGTCACCGAATTCCCCAGAATGTTTTATGAGTGGTTCGTTGTTGGACAATACGCCGTATTAAATTGTTAATTAGTGATTCAATGGTGAATGATAAGTTTTGTGATTACTGGTTGGGTGTCTCGTCTTGGAATCAGATTACGTTCCCACCTGGTCAAAATTTGGGTTTGTGTGATAATCCTGTTCTACCTCCTTGAGATCGAGTCCGTACCACCCTCAAAAACAATAACGGTTACCCTATGAAAGACACATCCTTTGCTCACATGCTGGTTTGCTTTATCCTGCTGAGATGTTTGTACTTCCATTTTCCTCGTACTGTGTGCATTACGGTAATTGGAACGTTTTTCGGCCTTTGCTCATCCCTCTATCAATCAACTGTCATTTCGTATTGCAAACTCCCTGATGTGATGAGACTCTTTTTCTTTGTGTTGTTCATTTCAAGCACGAATTATGACACAACATGTTGTGACTCGGTCGCAGAAGCATCGCATTCCAAAACGTAACACACACACATAGGTTTTTCTCTTCTTGCTAACGATGGGGTCAGAATCCCTTTCGTCATGTTGTTGTCTCAAATGTGCTTGCCGACACCTCCGCAGTTCGCATTTGGATCTTGTGAGTTGCTCTTTCATGATGGTTTGATAGGTTATCCAAAGACTGTCACCGCCCCATGTCCGTATGATGTGCGTGGTCTATGGCTTGCATAAATCTCACCATGTTTATTTTTGTCCCTGTGACAGGTGCCTTCTTTCTCGGATAATGGATGGTACCCTGACTTGTTGGTTGGAGACTCGAAGTGGTTAGATGCATTCCACGCTCTGGCCCGTTCGGCACAAACCCTCATTTCCCTTGCCCCTCCCAAGATCGTGGACTTTGTCCGACTACATTCTGTAGGAGTTTCTTCCCTGCTGATCACGACCCTTTCCTTTGATCTGTGGACTGACCTTCTTTGGAATGCGGCTAATGACAAGGCAGCTTTTCTGAACCTCGCCAAGTATTTGGTAACGCAGTCGAAGGAAATTGTTGATGAGGATGAGTTAGTGTCAATATGTGTTGATGTGGAAATAGCCATGAAGGAGACGATCTTTGTGGATTTGTTTGGCCCTGAATCCAATTTTCACGCGGATGTAGTCCAGAGGGACCTTGTTGCTGCAGAGGATGGCGTCGAGTCGGAAGAGGAGGGGGAGGAGGAGGAGGAGGATTCGCTCCTCTTGACAGAGGAGGAGAACGTGTACCATGCTAAATTGCTGACGGAAGGAAGGAACGACAAAATTAAGGCAGTCGCGGCCAACCAGAAATTTAATAATAATAAATATGTCTGCAATGCCTTCCTTCTCATTGTACCGCCAAGGTGGGTCGAGTCACAGTCTACGTCCGTAGAGGACAAGCTTTGGGACCTTTATACCTTCAACTACCTAGCTCCTATCCATGCAGATTCCTATAGATTCTTAGCATCGCTCACAGAGGAGGAGATGAAAAAGTACAATGAGAAGGCACTCACGTAGAACACAGAGTTGATGAGGGGAAATTATCTGCTCACTGCAGACTCCATGAGGCTCCCCGATCATTAGGGACTTCGACCGCACTAAGTGTAGCGTATCTGCATTTGCCCTGGCGGTAAGAGGATTTATGGCTCCCAAGCAACAAACGGCTATGGCGGAGTTGAAACATATTTGGAATGTAGGACGACCATATCTCAAGTGCCAGTGTGTCACAAAAAGGAAGGGCGATTGTGGTAAGAACAGTCCGTGGTTCGATCACGTTCTTTGGTATCTTCTTTTTTATCTCCACTAGAGCACACATAGCTGAATTAGGGCTCGTGCACACACGTTCAGGGTTAGAGCAAGAACCCCGTGGCGGGGTACCATTCTTGCTTCTATTGTGTTCACACATATGAGGGATGTGATGGTGAAAATGGCGTACAATGTCGCCATCGATCCAACTAGGACCGCACAAAAACATGCTGGATGATCCGGCCATCATGCTGCATAAGTTTCCCAAAACCATGACCAAACTCATCCTTCAGACTCGCTATGTGTGTGCAACAGAGAAAAGGAGGGAGGAGGCTGCATCATTGTCAGCGACGAAGGAGAAAAAGCCACAGCAGACCATCCTGGAGTTCTATGTGGCCCCAACACAAGAGGGAACTCCTGCATCTGCCCCGGAGGATTCCACCCAGTTGATGACCGGCACCCCTCCCTCCTCCACCATCATGACTCAGGACGACACCCAGGCCTGTGCTTGTAGTAGGCCATCAAGAAGGAGCCGAAAGGGGCTCAGGCTTGCACAAGACCTCACTGTTCTGAGTCTAACGGTGTTGTGTACGTGTCTTTAATATGTGCAGGATGAGGGTGTGAGTGAGGGGTTCATGACTCGTGACCCCTCAGGACAAAATAAGTGGCAGAAAGCTCGTTCAGAGGGGAAGGATTTTTTTGTACATATTTTGTACATGAGCAGGATTATGGAGTCTGTGCGCTTCAGATCTATGCTTGAACTTGCTTTTGACCAGTTCTTTCCCCCAGCAGCCAGGGAGCTACTTGCTTTGGTCGTGTTAGGGTGGACTTATATGAGTTGTTCGGAATTTTTTTTTTTTTTTTTTTTTTTTTGCTGAGAACCGGGCTCAGCGTCCCACCTCTGAAACTTATGATTATGATGATAGTAAATGCTGATAGAATTACTGCTGATGATGATTAGTATATCAGCCCTTCTGACCTCCTACTTTTGGATCAACTCCTAACCCCCCTGTATCAGGACATTGTACTCAGAGACAATACCAGCCTAACCGATCTCCTCCATAGCTGTTCTGTTCTCACCGCATAGCAGCCCCCCCTGTTCGCCACTGGATTGCCTTCCTCCCTCGGCAAACCCCAGATCTCTCTACAAGGCCTCATGCCCCCGCCAATTGCAGGTTGCAGGGCGACGCCCCAGCTCCGGCCAGCGTCGTTCTGGCATCAGCAAACCAGGGGAACAGAACAGAACAGGGCGACACCCCAGCTCCGGCCAGCGTCGTTCCGATATAGGCAAACAGGAGCACAGAACAAATAGACACAACAGAAATCGATCTAGATTCGATCCTCCCTGAGATCCAATATCCTAAATAAAGAAATGACTCAGAAGCCACCAAGAAAATCAGGAACCAGAAAGCGTCTTATTTCTCAGAAGACGATGATACGATACCTAAAATTAATCTCCCCCCCCCTCTTCATTCCACCCTATCCCAATGCTGCCTCCGCTGAAACGGATTACCCTCATTACAGGCATCCCATCACAGCCCCAACCTGGGACAGTACCACCCCCCCCCCCCCTTTCCAAAAGGGCATACAGTTCCCTCCCAAAGTATAACCCTTCACACCTCTTACCTTAGACTGCCCCCGCTGGTGTGAGTAACCCCACCGCCAACCCCAGAATAAGGCAACCCTCAGAATCTGCTCACACCCCCTCCAGGGCTACACTTCCCACCTTGTGTCACCCCTGCAGAGTGAAGCTCTCCCCTGAACCTCCACTTTCCAGTGTTTCCACCTATCAACATTAGACTGCGAAACTCAGAGAGGAGACATGTCAACTGTTATTTCGAAATACCAAYTTATACTAGAGAAAAATTCCAGTGATTTTCGAAAAAGAAAATGAAACGGAAAATGAAAATCGAAAATTAGGACTTTAGGCATTAAGAAATTGAATACATAAACAAAATTTTGAAATATTGTGATACAGAATCAGGAATTCAGAAATTCAGAATTTAGGATTTTTAGAAAATAAAAAATTAAAACTTACCAAAAAACAGGTATACAAAATAGAAATTTCGCAATGATTTTAAAATAGCCACTGTGACACAAATATATTTGCCGCAATTTCAGGATGAACGGGTTTTGAGGGAGTGAAGATCATCGATGTATCAAAACATATGCTTGAAAAGCGTGAGCTCAAAAGCCTTCCTGTCCATCAGTCTAATGATCAGGCTGTACTTGAAAAGTGGGATCCCTATGGGTCTCCCCAGTTCCCCTCAACCAGACAGGGAAACTGGGGCGACCCATAGGGATCCCCAAAGTCTGCCTCCAAAATCTTCTTTCGAAAGAGGTGAAACAGCGAGCCACCAACCAGTTAGTCAGAGCAATCACATTGTCACAGTCCAACCAAAACAAAGAGGCGCGAGTGGAACTCTCCTTTCCCTTGTCTATCCAATGGGCAAAAGACCCATCTCGACGGCTTTTGCATCTGACGAATCGGCCAAGGTGTTTGGATTCCGAAGTCTTGAACGCTAGCCTTACAAAAAATGCTACGGCTGAAGAAAGACTGTCGTCTGATGAGTCTATGGGAATCGCTTCAAAACATATGGTTATGTCTGCGGAGAACACAGAAAACACCCTCGTAGTTACCCAGAAGGTTGTAACAATAGTCATGTAAAGTGTCTATGGCCCACCATATAAAGGTGGAGATTTCATGGAAGCCTTTCAACCCATCCGTGATTTCTTTGCAGCGGGTCATAAGAAGAGGGGTGAGACATTTCAAAGTTGCATCACAGGCGTGCTATGGGGGTAAGGAAGGAGAAGGAGACATTTGTGAGCCATCAGAATGTTAACTTGTGGTGTTTGTACAGTGCCATGAGATAGGGCACCTTCTTTGGTCCAATGGACATGGGAGGAAGGAGTGCAGGAAGCGATGAACTTGCTTCATTCACGATGATCATGCCATCTCCTGACATGGATACAGACACAAAATCCTTGCTGTTAAGTCTCTCCAATGGAAGCTTCCTCACAAGATGAATACACGCACAGGATGGGGTATTCCCAGATTTATCCGTCCCTGCAATGTATAACTGCTTAGAGAGGAATTCCACTTCGTGCTCGATTGCATATGTATCAGAGACACATGGAGGGTCATGGTGTCTTCTCAATGACGAAAAGCCAAGCTGTGTCCTAAGCTGTATCGGGACAAACACAGACGGCCTCGACTGCATAGACTTCGTGATGTGCAATCGGCTGCAGAAAAAGGCAACAATAGAGCGCCAAGCCTTGAGGACCTCTTGAAAAGCCGCGTGAGGGTTGAGAGGATGTACGGGAATGTGGTTTAGACCTCATGAGAGGAGCTCAGACAACTTAACTTAGGGAGCATGGAGATTTTCGGGTCAAGAGAGAGGACGTGTGTGGAGGGGGAGGAGAAGGGTTGCGCCATATCCAAGGTGCATGGGTGACGGAAGGGCAGAAAGACTTAGTGTTTCAGGAAGCAGGTACATGAGCCAAATCCTTCACAAAAGTTTAACCAATTATTCAATTCAAAGTCACAGAATACAGAAGCGGGCTTGTACACAATAGATTCCAAACAACTCAAGGTTAATCATGATCGGAGGGGGCGCAGTGCTACCGGGAGCGCTGCGCCCCCGCTATCTTGTCGGGATGACGCGCTTGGGTGACGCGCTTGCCAACGCTCGTGGGGATGGACCAGGGCAGAATGCGTGCGCGCGGGGAAACGTACGTGGTAGACGCTGGTTGCTGCTGGGCAGAAGCGTGAGTGGCCTCCATAGCTGCCTTTTCTGACGTGGCGAGAGGTAGCCAAGGACTGCACGACATTTCCGGGCAATGTGTACGTTACCTCGAAGCAGCCATAGCGGGTTTATGGTGCAGAGGGGGGTCTCGTGGAAAAAACGGGAATCAGTGGGCGATGGGTTACTCTATCGCAGACAGCTGGACGTGCATGCTGGCGGGAGATAAAAGGTGGAGGAGGCGAGTGTGTTAATAGAGTCGACATTATCTTATTCGACGCGTCATCATCATCATCATCATTTGGAGCGGAGGCCAGTTGGAAATCAGCGGGCGATCATCGTCATCATCATCACCATTGGCACGGTTGTCATCATCATCATCATCATCATCATCATCATCATCATCATCATCGTCTTCACCCCTGACACGGCTCGTCCTTCTTTCCTCTCCCTTCCTCTTCACTTTTCATTTCCCCCTGATCATTCCACGTCTCGTCTCTCCTCTCTGATGGTCACTACTCTGGTTTTTCTCTTGATAGATTCTTCTTCGTTGGTCTATTCCGATTGCTACTTCGAAATGGAGGTTCTGC